GATGATAGAATTTCTTATCTGCAGTGGTGTAATCAAGGGCAAACCTTGATTCAAGGGAAAACATTCCTAAGTAGATATGCTTGTGCCAAAACTGAAAATTGATGTTCTGACTCAACTGAAAGCCTAAGCCCTTTCCAGTAAAGACCTTTCATGGAAGCATTTAAGGACAAAATGTATTTAAATTCTAAGTTTTTCCATACTGTTACCATTTTCAAGTGGCAAAGGCAAAAGCATTTCTAGAGCAATGTCAGACTGAATGCCGCTGTGTCTATTTTTTTAAATGACTGTCAGGAGAAGCCTTAATATTTGGAAATTATTAAAGTTTTCCTGTTTACCTTAATTCAGGCAAACTATGAGAGAATTCTCTTCCCTTCTGGCTTTTGTTCTTTTTCCATCTGTGTCCTTTTTTATTTCACCAACACGTTTGTCACTCTGCTTCAGTCGTCTCCTGTCTTTCAACATGACACTCGCTGTCTAAACACTCCCGGCTTCGCCGAGAGCGAAATCAAGAGATTTCACTCCTCATTCCTCCCCTGAAAAAAGGGTTCCCAAAACTCTGCTGTCAGGAGACAATAGCCACTTTGGTTCCCATTACCACCTCTGCTCATGTTTTGGGGAATTCATGAATCTGTGTGTAGCTGAGAAGGTAACACAGAAACAGAACATGCTCAAGGGAAGGTGTGGGGTTTTTTTTTTTTTTCCTCTTTTCTTTCTTTTTTTTTTCTTTTCTCTTTAAATAAGCTACAGAACTTGTTCCAATTACCCTTATGGATCTTCTAAGCTTGCTCATTCATTTACATAATATTCTGTCTTCGTTGCAGGCACAGATACAGAGCTCACAGACAAATGGGGAGGGAAAAAAATAGAGTCTTGGGGTTCTCACTCCCAGAAGCACAGATAAATCTTTTTTTTTTTTAGGTTTTAACTGAGTTTCTACCCCAGTGTGCCCTTTTAGGCTTAAAAGTGATTAAACAAGATTTACAGAAAAAATTAATTTATTTCCTATTTGTAATACTTGCCATAACGAAGTAATTCCACAGATTTCACTTTTTGATCTTTAATTCTTTAAGAAAATTAATACCATAATTAAAAGATTAAAGTGCACAGTTTCACCAAAGAACATATTCTCCATATACACTATTAGCTTTCACAAGCAAATTCATCATTTTTGGAGGTGGGGAACAGAGCTTACTATGGTAGATTATGTGGGAATTAATGTAAAAAAAAATTTGTTTCTTTCTCAAAACTTTTCTTTTTTTTTCTGGAATTTTTTGCTCAGAGAGAGAAAGAAATGATTTCAGAATATCTCAGAGCGCAGTGGCGCGGCCGGCAGCGAGCGCGAGTGTGGGAGTGCGTTCTGCACAGACAGCTGAGAAGTGAGCAGCACTCCTCCCAGAGAGAGCTCCGGGTAATACTGATCCTCTGTGCACCACGAGTGGGAGGACAGCCATGCAAATCCTTTTGTTTCAGCAGGGAAGCAGGATTTTCCAGAGAGCACCAAGATACAGAGTAAAAACCAAGCAGAGGATGAAGCCGTGGCCACGTGCAGCTCTTGGATGCTGGCACACACACAGAGCCCTCATGGGCTGGCACACACTGCAGGTAGGGACAGAATCCCAAAACCAGGGTGGAAGGGGCCCTAAAGATCATCCAGTGTCACCCCTGTCATGGCAGGGACACCTTCCACTGCTCCAGCCCCAGTGTCCAGCCTGGCCTTGGGCACTGCCAGGGATCCAGGGGCAGCCACAGCTGCTCTGGGCACCCTGTGCCAGGGAACAATTCCTTCCTCATCTCTAATTTAAACCTGCTCTCTGTCAGTTTGAATCTGATTTCATATCCCCATAGTGTTTCATTCCAGTTCTAGATAGTCAAAATAACACCTGACATTCCTATAATAGATCTCCTCTAGCGAGGAGCGTAAGAGCAGGTCTAAGGCGCCTATTAGAAAAACTGCATCGTGTTAGAACCTTAGAACAATGAAAGGTTAAAGCCTTCATCTGTATTTCGTGCATTGCCTTCCCCTGAGGCCCAAAAATAAAATGCCTTGTACTGCATCCTCATTACATAAGCACTATATATAGAGAGCATATGAGTTCCTCTTCTGTTTCAGAGCAGAAAATTGATATAAGCATTTTGAGGAAAGAAAAGGTTCAGCAGAACTTTGTTTTATCCTGACTAAGAACACTGCCTAGTGATGTCTGTGTTGTACAAAAGTCAAGGCAAGAAATTGGCAGTGGGTGGAGATCTCTTTAAGGGAATTAAGTAAGTGGATAATGGAAGTGAAATACTCTTAGCAGGGGGAAAGTGAAAATTCCTTGAACTCTGAAAGGAGACAATTTTTTTTGGTAAACATTACAGAAGAGCTAATCTAATTTTAAGAGGACTAAAAAAAACTTCAAAAAACCTGAAATAATCTACAGAGAATCTTTTCCTTCATCTTTTGATGTTGCTACCTGTGGGTGAAGGGAAGAAAGCAGAAGGAAATAGTAACAGCAACATTAATGAAGGGTAGCACTCTCATATTCTACTTTGCAGCCTTGACATTTGGTTCCATCAGAGATTGAGACACAGACTCCACTGCCTCTACTTCAGAACCTTCACACTCACTCCTGTCCCGTTAATGCAATCAGGAACATTCCCTGAGTTTTGAAGCAACAGCAGTGAAATAGATTTTGTTTCTCAACAAAAGAGCAGGGGTGCACATTGGTGCTTCTGTGGAGCAGCAGCTTGGAAATCTGCACCCCTAGGAATGTCCTGTAAAACAGCTGGAAGGGCCAGGGATCCTAAGGGATAAATGTGCAAAACTCTCAGAGTTACAGTGATAAACCCCAGACCTGTCAGATGATCTATTGCAAATCTCTACCATACAGATTGTTTTAGTAATGGTAATGATCATTTCTGTTGTTAGAACACACTTGTTTGTGGACAAAACTCTTTCATGCAGCCTAACAAACCATAAGAACATAGAACTTTGTCATTTCAGAGGCAGTTCAGTGTCTCTCTTTCCCCCAAGATGTTTGAGGAACAGATGAAACATTTTCCTGTGGAGCCAGCCCCTTTGGCTATTCCCTAACTACATCGAGCCATCGGTCATTTCTGCTACAATCCTCTATAATAGTTTTCCTACATGAAGTTTTAACTTATAATTTGTCTCTCATTACCTTTCTTCACGCTTTTCCTCCTCTTTCACTCTTTCTCCATTCTTACTTTACCTCTCTTTCACTAGTATTTCATCTTTTATTCTCTTTTATTTCCTTACTCTCATTGCATTTTTTACCATCTTTTATTAGATTTTTCTTCATCTCCTGATTAGTTTCCTCTCAGAGTTTTCAGTTTTGGGGTTTTTTTTTCTCCTCATCTTTACAGTGAATACTGCTTAGATGAAAGCCATGTCTTTATCATAGAATATAAATATGCACAGATATAAATATTTTCATATAGGTTTTGTGATCAGAAACCATCTTTTCTTTTCTTGCATAAATCTTTCTCCTTTTTCTCCTAGAATACTACATAAATCCCATTTACATAAGGAGTGACAGCATTCAATTTTCCTTCCTCCTTCTCCCACACTGTTCTGTTTTGGTTTGATTTTCTATTCTCATTTTATTTAATTAAGTAATTTGCTCACCTAGAGCTTGGCTGAAATATCTTCTGAAAGCAGATCCATATTATGTTTGTGCTGCTGTATAATTAAAAGTAACTCAACATATAAAAGCTATGGTTTAGTAAAAGAATTGAAATGCAGGCTCAAAAATTCACATATCATTTTTGGCACAATGAAGATTTGAAAATCTGTTGGAGCAGAGTTGATTTAAAAGATGAAGTGTCAGGTTTGACCATGCACTCACACTTGTATTTGACAATGACTCGGTGGAACTCTCTGTGCTGTGAGTGAGAGGATGGTTCTGGCTCCTCACATTTCTCCTCTTTTTAGCTAAATAACACAGAGTGGTGTTTTTGAAACTTTGTGATAGGATGTTGCTTTATTCCACAAAGTGCCTTGGCACTCCTTCAATTACCTTGCTTTGACAGATGTAGACAAATCACTGAAAAGCACATTATCCTCAACCTAACACTAAAATGCATTAGAAATTCCTCTGCATTTCATGGCCAGATTTTGATGCCTTTGCTCATGCTGAATTTTTGCATTGCCCTAAAATGGATTCTCTTGGTTTGGTGGGTTTGCCTCCCTTGGTTTCAGTGACAGCTGAAGGTGAGCTGCACTCTATGTGTGTCCTGAGGAGTGTCAATATCTGCCTCTGTAAGGACATTCACTTGCACACACAGGGACAAACTATGCAGAAAAGATTCTAATATATTAATCCACGAAGAAAGAGATTCACACTAATCCGACAAAATGAATAAATATAAGTAAAATATATTAAGAAGATTATGTTCTTCTACTTTCTCTTTTCTGCTTTCACACAGTTAATTTCCCTTTTCACCATCTTTTTCCACAGCTTTCTCTGCTTTTCCCTTCCATCATCCATGCAAATCCTGTGGCTAATTGGTTAAGTCCACTCTACAGCCTAACCATCAATTCCCAGACACAGCATCTTTCATTTCAATGTTTTTCCCTGATTACAGTTGCACTTAGAGGAAAACAAATAAGTATGTATCAATGCCCTGCAAGTGTAGGAAAACAACAAACAGATAATTAAACATCAACAAAATATCAATAGGATTAAAGCATCATGCTGGAGCAAATCTTGATAAATCCTTCTCAATAACAATTCTCTAACTGCAGTGTCAGAAGGGAAATATAAATTTAGCCCATTAAAGTGTTGTTGGACAAAGAGACATTAATACAGCTGTTAATCATTTCCTTACTACTGAGGGACTCGGCTATTGTGCTGCAGATGAAAGCTCTGGCCAAGAAAAGATTTGAAAATATGCAAATGAATGCTAACAACATAATAAATACCTTATTATTCATCACCAACTCAACAGCCTGCTGGCACAGCCCAGGCTGTGAGCAGGGAGAGCTCGCACATACGTACCCACTACAGACATTTCTGGCACCGTGGCGTGGTAGGGGCCCTCCACAAACTCAGGAGCGTTGTCATTGATGTCCTGGACCTTGATGATGAATTCTGAGGGGGGCTCCAGGGGCTGGTTTGTGTCCCTGTCCACGGCCTGGGCTGTCAGGGTGTACTCAGCCTTCTCCTCCCTGTCCAGCCTCTTCATGGCGTGGATGTCTCCAGTCTTGTCGTTGATCACAAAGATGGTTCCAGCTCCATCCCCTGACAGGATATATTTGATTTTGCTGCTGCCAGGATCCAGGTCTGTGTGTAGCTAAAAAGGAAAAACAAACAAACAAAAAAAAAAGACACATTTTAGAGACAAAAAAAAAATGTACACAATGAATTTTGGGGTTGTTTTTTTTTGCTTTGGTTTAACTATACATTTTGTCAGATGATCCTTTGTGCTTCAATCCCTTCAACAGTGATCCACAGCTCAGCTTGAATACACATGGAGAGCAGGGATTTGTATGCATGCTAATCAAAAATTGATGCAATCATAGGCATAATTAGACTTTCTATTTAAAAAGCAGCTGTTATATATATTTTAAGTGCCCATTCTAAAATGTAAATGCCTTCAGAACCATCATCAGCCCAAATGAACAAGTACAAAATGTCCTTAACCTATTAGATCAAAGGGTGAGGGAAGGGTTAATCATAACATATGCTTTAATCTAACCTCTTCTTTTTAGTTATTACTTTCAACTTATTTCCAAGTGACTGGAAATGGTTGAACACTGGCATCTATGGAATCTTGTCACAGACAGCAGTCAGAGAAATTAAAAACCCTATCACAACTCAGATCTTTGCAGAACTTAAAAGGTTCTAAGGTCTTTATTCCAAAAGTACATGCCCTGGTAGAAAAACACTTGCACACATCTTCCCATTCTCCTCAAAGCCCCATCAGGAAAAAAAATTCTATTAAATTTGTATTTGGCTTTTCAAAAAACAAGAGAGAATTACAATAAACTGAAGCAGTATGAGAAATATATTATTTATTTTTAATGTTTTCATTAATTAAAAACCAGGGGACAAAGGACTTTCATTGATTTTTTGGTAGGCTCAGAGCCAAATACTGCATATCAGATTATCTCCAATAATTTTTAAGTTGTGAGAATGGGAACTGGTTGGATCACATGTATCACTGTCAACACATTCAAAAATACAGGATAATAATTTGAATACCCAGTAATAGGGGTTTAAATTCTGTTTACTGTTAGGTCCAACACACTCAATATGATCAATAAGAAGTGAATAACATCATTAAAAATGTAACTTGCATCTATTATTATTTATCTCTGCCTCACAAAAGACAGTCTGAAGGAAATATGTACAACTTGCTTAGGTTGCAGCATGAGTTACAACCATCACTAAAGGCTTTTTCCTGTTTGCTCATTCTGGGGAGACAGCTCAACAGAAGTTGTTGCTGGTTATGCATTTTACTCTCAATTGATAGCAGGGGTTGCCAGGGCCAGGCAGCAGCATCATTTAGAATAAGAGCTGGCATTAGGATATTAAAATAGGTGTGGAAAAAAAGCCTTGTAACACCAGCTGCAGCCAAACCACAGGAGATTCTTATGGCACAAGTGGCTCTGCAGGTCCTTCTGCCCACAATTGGTCACAAACAGTTGTATCTGCAGCTCACCTGTTCAGGAATTCAGCTGTTCAAGAGCTCAGCAAATACAAAGCTCTCTCTGTTGCAAAGAGCACAGTGGACAGCCAGGGCTGATTTCCCTGTTCATCTGGTTTGTTACAGACACAAAATCCTGGCCACCAGTGCATTCCCAGTGTAATCCTGGCCACCAGTGCATTCCCAGTGCAACCCTGGCCACCAGTGCATTCCCAGTGCAACCCTGGCCACCAGTGCATTCCCTGCTCTGCAATAATGGCACAACTCCCACGACCCACACGAGGTGTAAACTCATCCTCTCTGCTTTGCTGGGCATCATTTTATTACCCCACCATTGTTTTAACAACTTTTTCAGAGCACTTTAGCTGTGAATATGCATGACTCAATCCAGTTCACTCTTTCTACCCAGCCCACAGGAACGTACACAGAGATGTCAAGTGACAGCTGAGTCCCTTTTCCAAAAGTTCAATCTGCTTTTCTTTTTGCACCTGCCATCAGCTCCTCTTGAGAACAATCAGCCCCATTTACTGAGGCACTGCCCTCTCCTCTTGGTTGATGTTACACTTTGGTCTGCTCAGAAAGTTAACACAATTCCTTTTGGATTTAAGATTACTGTCCTTATGACCCTTATTTTCAGAGCCCCAGAGCCTCTGAAGATCAATCCAGAATCTGTGTTTTAAACAGATTGTTTATAATTTAAGCATCTGCTTGCTCCCTGAATAAAATCTATATGGCATTAACATTGCATATGAAGGTTTTGGCAGCATGATCAGAGCTGAGTTAGAGTGATGTAATATCACAGCATTGTCTGGACACCCACAGCTCAGCACATGAACTGGGAACATCTCACTCACCCAGCCACACAATAAAAAGCTAAAATCTGAACTTTTAAGAATAAGCCAGATATCCCACACAGACATTTGAAAAGGCTTAAACATTCTAGAATTTGCTATTTGCTAATAACTAAGAGAGGCTGTGTGTCTAATCTCAGGTTTTACCTATAATATCCAACAGCAGTTATGGTTCATAAATCAGTTCTGGTAGATATTAATGCAGAGCTATAAAATCTTTGTAGTTCCAGTGATATACCAACAGTTAAAATGATAAAAATGTCTATAATTACCATTAATTGTTTCCTCTAATAAGTTAAATTCCATTGTATCAAAAGCATAAATTGGTATTTGTTATTCAAGTATTGCTATTTGAAACACTACAAGGTGAAGGGCTAAACATAAAGTACAAGAGATAGGAGCATCTTATAATATTAAAGTTGAAACTAACTCTGATGAGTGGAAGATCAGTTTTTACCCAAAGATTTATATGTGGGATATATGGATATATAGATTTATATAAGCGGGGTTTGTTTTCTTTTTTAGTTTTTTAATTAAAAAAAAAAAAAACAAGACATAAATGTGGCATTTACTACAATCTATGGGGAGCATCCAAACTGACCTAAATAATTAAGATAACTTTTCTAGGTTTTGAAGTCCTTACGCTCTAATATCAAAATATAATAACAAATCACCTATGGAAGAGCCACTTCTCCAAAATCATTTTATTGTTTAGATTTAAGATTAAGTCATCATCACCTACTACAAAGTTATATCACAGACTGAAATCTTAAGTCAGATAGCAGAGCATTTTTCCCAAGTAATATTTCCTCTCTCCTAGCAGACATGAATGATAATTTACTGCAAGAGTCAAGCTTCAGCAAGCTGTGTTCGTGTGAAGGGTGAAGATCATTAAACACATAATTATATAGGATCTAGGTGAATGATAGAAGGGCATAATGAATATGAGAAATGAATAGTGCTTTCTGCTCAAAAAAGCCTCACAAATGTAAATATGAAACTGCTTTCCACATCTGCAGCTTTATTAGCTGCACCTATACTTGAAAGCTGACCTTTTTCAGAGCATCATCCAGATGTAACAAGAATTTCTGCTTGAAACAGAAAATGTCTGTATCTGCCCCAGTGTCCCACTGCCAGAGTGCACCCCAAAACAAACAAACACATTTACTGGAGAACCTCATCTTGTTCAGAGAGAGGTAAAATCACTTCCATTATGTGAGATTCACTTCATTAGACTTCAAAGGAAGTGAAATCATCTTCCTCCATCACTGCCCTGCCTGGGGGACTATAAATCCACACACCTCTCTCTGTTAAAGCAGCAGATGCAAGTCCATCACCCAATTCATGCCTGGATTTATGGAGACAGGAGTGACTTTGGAGCAGCTCTGAGTTTTAATGGTGATGCAGATGCCCTGTATGAATACCTTACTAATAGCTCCCCTGTAGCCTCAGCACAGATCATTTTTTTCCCTAAAAAATTACATTCACTCCAAATGAACCCTCAGAATAGAGCAATTTCTAGTCTTTATTAATTCCTTTGCTGTTCTATCTGATAATACAGATGGTAATAAATGAAGCCAGGACTAACAGGAACAGCACACACAGGGTGCTACCACAAAATTAACATTGTTTTCACTAATGCATGTCTAAAATGTTGCCAACACACTATCCAAGGATATAAAATGCATTTATAGCCTTTCATGTATATACATTGCAAACATGTATAATTAAAATCCATGCCAGGGAAACTGCACAGATGAAACTGATTCTAAGAGCCTCTGTATTCTGCAGATGCAAAAGTGTTATTCTGCAGTAAAACACAGCTCCAGGAGCGTGGGACTGTTATTAAATTTTCCTATTCCATAACTCTTTGTTCAGCATATTTCAAACAAGGTTTTCTTAGCAAGTCCTTGGCTCCAAACTGCATTAGCAGCCAGGGATTTAATGCATGGACAAAGGCTGGGAGCAAGGTTGGTGAAGCTCCTTTGCAATTCTGAACAGATTCAGGAGCCTCCTCTGCAGATGGGAGCCGTCTCACCTGCTCTCACTCAGCTACCTGGCAAACCCACGGCAGCCAAAACAACAGGCTGCTCAGCACAAAGAATTCCATGTGTTCACCATCAGGAGAGTGCATCCTGCACTTGGGGCTGGGCCATGCCCAGATGAGCAGAAAGCTGTTGGTTTTCTCTGCAGAAGGATTGGGCACTTCCAGCCCTCTCAGACTTGTGGTGCTCATGCACAACTTGATACACAGCAGCCCATAATAGATCCCCCATCAGTGGGAGGAACTGTAATCCCAATTTCCTTGTATCCGTAAAAAAAAAAAAGGCATAAATATAGAAATATTTCATGTGGGGAAGCATCTACACATTATGAAAATGCTCCTGGACATTTTTAATTAAGGCAAGAGAAGGCAGTATTATGTCGTCAAGTTTTTATTTGAGTTTGTTAGAAAGTAATTAATTCATCCTCATGTAATTACAAGGGAATTACCCCACACTTGTTTCAAGGGAAAAGGAATCATCTGCCCTTAAAACTTCATTTTAAAATTTGCATCACCCTTCCCTGTCCGAACTCTGGAATCTTTTCTTTTAAGGGTGCCTCACTGATTTTCACCTGATGTTTCACAGACCAGCACTGTCCTAATGCTTCAGGTTCTTCCTCTATTTTTTACCTTTGCCTTGCAATAAAATTCCTCATTTATGAGGCAGACCCCATTTAATGGACTTGGAGATGGAATTTTCAGCTTTTTATGACTCTTTTCTGAAACTGCTGGCTTCTAAGAAGCTCTCA